TAGTATTCTCATGAGCACACTAAACTAAGAGCAGAGTAATTTTCTCTGTACTAACATAAATATTGGAAATATTAAGAAGTTGCTCAAGATGAGGTTTTTTTTAACAACATATTTGAAGCTATAAGTGGTTACTCTTCTGGATGGTAACCATTTCATTTTCAGTAGATCTAATAGATACTTTTCATAGTAAAGAATCATATGAAGCCAGTTCAAGGACCAGGCAATTGCTTTTTTTAAGTCCAAGCGTTCTCTATTCACTCTTCTGTTAGATATTTGTAGGGTAGCCTGACTCAAATACAAATAACAATTTCTGTTTACTCCCCTCTCCTTTTTCCATACTTGACATTAAGCTCTCCCTGACACAAGACCATCTTTTTCTTCTCCAATACTGTTTGTTGAATACAATTAGTAGAGTTTGCACAAGGGATACATGCCCTGGCAGTCTCTTGTTGTTTTTGTTTTGTTAGCTTTTGATACAGTTTATGAAACTTTCTTTTAGAGAGTCCATCTTGGTTTTTTAATTGCGATCACCAACTTGAATATTGAGATTACTGTTTACGCTGTCAATAAATTCTATATGGTTATAAAGTTTGTTACAATATCCATTTTTAGATCCATATCATTCTCATCCTGCAGTGAAGCTGCTGAACAGACAGCAGAAGTCTCAGAGGAAGTGTTCTGTTGCTATCAGATTTCTCCTTCAGTGTACAGAAAATTTCTAAAAATGGATGACTTTCAGTCTTTACTTATAAATCCCACTCCAGGAGATCCTATTTGTTTAACAAGAATACAAGCCTCAAATTACTTCTTATTTTCTATGTATTTGTCCATTTTCAACTGTTCTGAAAAACTGAATGAGGTCTGTGGTCCAGGAAGTACATATTGTCTCTTCTTTATTTTTCCCATCCTGCAGTCCAGTTTGATCAATGAGTAATCAAAAATATTTAAAAGATAAAAACTGCTTGCTAAAATTAAATGTTTGATAATAATTACTAGTTAACTAATTTGCCTAAGTTAGCATAAAGATAAAATAATAAAATAGCATCATTTTTTTGGTAATTTTTTTTTATTTTTAATTTTACATTACATTCATAAAAAATACTTCAGATAAAGAGTAAAATAAATTTATACATACAACTTTCGGTATTGCTCACCCATTTCCCCCCACACCGCATCCACCCTCTAACCTCTTCTCTCACTTCCCTCTTTCCCTCTTCTTCCTCACTCTCCCCCTCTCCTCCTTCTCCTCAACCTTCCTACTTACTTCTCCCCTTCCTCATATCTTCTCACTCTGGGTGTGGTCCAGGGGAAATGCCAGAGCAATTCCTCTCTCCAAATTAAAACATCAATATTATATACAATAAAATTGTTTCTACCTATCTGAGCTATTTAACCTCCAACCCATCCTCCCCTCCTCCCCCCACCCCCCACCCCGACTTCCCAGAGCCAAGTACAGGGTTATACAAACATATTAAACATAATCTATTTAAGTTTACTAATTATACAATAACCAAAATCATACTAACCCTTAACTCTCTTCAAACATTAACATCATAATTTTATAAACAAATCCATTACTCATAAAATAAATGAAACTTTGTAGTTCCATATTTCTTCTGAACATATTCTATCCATCTTCTCCATACAATAACATATCTCTCTTGTGAATGGTCCTTTAAATAAGCAGAAATTTTAGCCATTTCTGCTAAATTAGAAACCTTAAATACCCATTCTTCTAAAGAAGGCAGAGAATCTTTCTTCCAATATTGACCCACCAATTATCTTGCTGCTGTTATTAAATTCAACGTTAAAATAGTTTCTTTAGCATCAAAATCCACAAAAATACCAAAAGAAATAACTGGGGAGTAAACTTAATCTTCCTTTTAAAAACCTTTTCAATGTTCCACCAAATCATAATCCAAAAGGCTTTAATATTTTTACAAGTCCACCAAACATGAAAATAGGTTGCATCCAAGCAACCACATCTCCAACATTTAGGTTGCAGGTTCGGGTACATACAAGACAACTTTTTAGAGTCCAGATGCCATCTATAAAACATTTTATAAAAATTTTCCCTCAAATTTTGAGCCTGCGTAATAAATAGCATCATTTTTGTACAAGACTGAAGATTTTCCCATTAATTCCTCCTCCTTATTCCGACCTAGTCTGATCATTCAGAGCAAGGAAGGAATCAGAGGGCTCAAGTACGGTAGCTAATATTCTAATAGCTTTGTCTTTATCTGGCAAGACATTATTTACTATTGAAATCACACAGTGGTGATTTGTTATATAGAACTTGTTTACATCGCAAGTTGTGTCTTCGAAATTTCCTATGAGAGCAAAACCATATTTTAATTGTCTTTCCTGAATAATTCAATTTTTTTTCTGTTAAAGTAACACTCTACCTCAGCATAAAGATTCAAGAACTGTCGTTAAAGTTTTATCTCTGTTTGTTAACAAAAGAACTCTCAATTAAATTCTCGTCTCCCAATAAACAGAATATATGCAGGTTCTTCCATGAACCGAATCAATAAAGCTCTTTCGGTTGCCTGCTCACTTCTGCCCACCTTCTATAATTTCCACTCTTTGCTGATACTGATTTTAAAAAAAAAATGAAGCACTTTTTTTTTTCTAAAATGAACTGCTTAGAATGCAATGGAAGTTGGCAGTTTAGAGTAAAGGTTATGGACAGTAACCTGACTCTGTTGTTGTCCTTGAAACTAGTGATTTTCTCTCCAATTTTGTCCCATTATTGTATATTTGTAATTTATGTTTAAAAGAAAGGGAGAAAGAAATTTACCCACTGCACAGATATCACTTCATCATCCTCTACTGCTGTGCTGCATTATATGGAAAGTATCATATTTTAAAGATGAATAAAAATATAAGGTTAAAGTATTTCATTCTGTCCAGCCATACAATAGAGTTGAATATATGCTATGGGGATAATCTATAGTTTATTACATTAAATAGCCTGAGTACAGCTCCTGATGACCTTATGGAAATATCCATGTGGTTTTCTTTGCAACAATAAGGAACAATTTCCCCATTGCCTTGTTTTGTTGTATTTTGCAGTCTGGTCCACAACCCTGAGATTCCCTAATGGTTTCTCACTTAGGTATTTAACTGGCATGGCCTGTTTTACTTTTTCAGGTAGGCTACAGGACACAAGAGGCTGCATTTATTATTTTGAGCCATCAACATCCACTTTTGTAGCCAGAGCTGTTAGTTTTAGTATATATTAAATAGCAAGTTTAGAGGCAGTGTGCAATAGCTCTTAATTCTAGAAAGCTTGAATACTCACATTTAATATTTATATACCTAGCCCAATCTAAAATATCTAAGTGGTATATGTAATATTTAAAAACCACTGGAAACTTTAGCTAATCAGGATCCTGCAACCATTTCAAATGGTTGTCTGCAATGAATCAGACAGGTTTAAACAGCAAGATAGGTTCTAGAACCTTACAAAACATTAAAAGGAACAGGGACAAATAGATCTTCAAAGTCGATGTTTCATAATATGCAGTCCATTACAAAGAATGCCTGCCTTCAGTTCCTGGGATTGAGATCTAAGGGGCCACCAAAGGGCAGGCAGAATTTAAGTTAGGAAATTTCCTATTTAACCCAGCATCACACCATATGGAATTATAGAGATAATAACTAGCATTCTGAATTGGGCTTGGAAGCCCCCTGATAACCAGCAAGGCAAATAAGTGTAACTGCAATAGATTTATCTTGTTAGTACTCTGAGTGTTGCATTCTGAATCAATTGTACTGCAGCTTCCAAGTCATCTTCAAAAGCAATTTTCCATGTACAATACATTTTAGTAGTCCAGTTATGTGGTGATCAGGCAATGAGTTACTCTTTCCAGGGGTTCCTAGTATATGTAGGCTATATCTGCAATTCCTTTGAAGACCATTATGAAGCAGCAACTGTCTCAAAAATCAGTGGTACAGGTAGTTATGGGTATGCCTTAATATGTTCATTTTTCACTATTGTTCTCCAAATTGCATTGGCTTCCAGGAAGGTTCCAGGTCAATTCAATGTTATTATTATTAATTCTAAGGCTCTTAATGGAGCTGGTAAAGTTATTTGTAGGACCGTCTCTCTCCCATTAGTTCCACTAGTCCCACCATATCCAATAACATTGGCAGGCTCCAAATGCTTTCTATCAAGCAATACCATCTGATAAGACCCAGTAGGTGTACCATCACAACAACAGCCCTGTGGTACAGTTTTCCCCTTGAAAATTGAATGATCCTTGCCTTATAGATTTTTTACACTGACAACCTGGCTGTCCTTTTGGGCATCAGGCCAGAGTCTTGAGTGAATCTGTCTCTAAGGTTATTGTAATACATTGATTGGTGTCCTCAACTGCCAAACTACTTTTAATATGCTTATATTTTTACTATTATTTTTAATGTTTGTAAGCTGTCCAGAGTTGTTTTGCAAGTGAGGTGGCCATATAAGTTGAATAAATAAATCTTCATTACATAGCAAGTGGGACGTGAAGGTTAGCCTAGACATAAATGGGGGGACAAAGAGAGAAGTAGAAGGAGGAGAGGAGAGGGAAATCTGAAGGATTTGCTTATGCTTATTGCTTATTTCTAACATGAAATGAGATGAGAGGCAGTTGTTTGATAATTAGGCTCTACACATTATTTCCTAGCAGATACTATGGAATTTCGGAATGAAGGTACATAATCTGGGAGCAAGTCTATGTAGAACATGAATTTGCTATTAAAGACAGAATATCCAAACCACCCAATTTATTCTGAAACTCAACAAACATATGTTCATCCATTCCCCCCCCCCCAAGAACATTGTTGCAAAATGTTCATGCATAGCCTTATTTTAGCAATCAGGAACAAGTACACATGATTCATATGTATCTTCTCACATCATATTTATATTTTGTTTCATAATTCTATATTGTCCAATGGATTTAGGAAATAAAAAAAACAGAGCAAAAATAAAGAGATAACAATTAACTGACCTTTTAGTGCTAAACATAATGGTAAGTGTTTTGCTTCACATAGATGAGAAATCAACAAAATCTTGATCTTGTAGACCTATTGGGGAAAAATACAAAATGTTCATGTTAAGATCTGAGACTATAGGTTGACAGGTTTTAAAAAATAACTTTCAGAATTCATGTTTGATGTCAATTTAAAACAACACAGATAAGCTTGATATAAAGTTTGAGAATGTTTAGACAAGCTGTCATCCAACATTCTAGCATCCCCACCACCACCACCTTAAATGGCCCATTAGAGCAGAAAACTCAGATAGCAGCATCAACCATCACTTCAATTGGCATATATCATGTGATAACATATTGTTCTGTATTTTATATTCTTATATGGCCTAAGGGCTAATCAATAAATTATTATTATGATTGGACACACATCATTATTATCTGTTTACAACAATGTGAAGTTGCAATTTCCTTTCTTTAGCTGGTGTAGTCCTTCATGTGCCTCAAGTTCTTCTCCAGATCCTAGGATGATGTAATGTATCAATATAGTTTTGCAATTGATAGATGGAAATGTTGCCAATGCACAGATTTTTCTAAGTGCCATCCCAGATTCTTTAACATGTCACCCCATGTGCTAAGAATCACTGGGATGATCACATTCAGTTTATGCCATAATCTTTCAGTTTTGGTTTTCAAATCTTGATACTTTCTCATCTTCTCCAATTCTTTGTCTTCTATTCTACTATCTCCTGATATTGCCACATCAATTATCACACTTTCTTCTTTTCAGTCACAATTATATCTCTTGGTTTATCAGTCTGTATTTGGAAATCTGACAATATTTTAACCTCCTCCTTTACTAATTTTTTAAGTTATTCCCATCAATTTTTCATTACTGACATATGCAAATTTTTACATGTGGTCTAGTGAATCATGATTGTGTTATGTTGTTGGTTATAATCAGTTTGTGTGATTTTATTGTATGAGTATATGATCAACTGTTTCTTCTGCTTCTTTGCACAATCTGCACTTTGAATCATCTGATGATTTTTCAGTTTTGACTTTGATTGTATTAGTTTGAAGAGCTTGCATTTGAGCAGCCAAAATCCAGCCTTCAGTTTCTTTTTCTTTTTTTTAATGTTTCAATTATAAGCCATTGCCAGGTTTTATTTTTATCTACTTTCTCATCAATCTTTTGTAGAAATTGACCATGTAATGCTTTTGCTTACAAACACTGTCAATGTTTTATATTCACTTTTGTTTCCTATACACGTAATAAGTTGACATTTTTAACCTGCATCAAAACCTGACTGTTTTTTACATATTTTTTTCTTCAAGTTTGCTTCAACAAAATTTGAAGCAAATGTCTGCCTCCATTTCTGTAAGATAGCTACATGGTCTACTGCAGGGGTAGGCAACCTTGGCTCTTTTATGACTTGTGGACTTCCAGTCCCAACGCTGAAGCCAAGGTTGCCTACCCCTGGTCTAGTGATTAAGGTACCAGACTAGAAAGCAGGAGACTGTGAATTGTAAATGTGAAAAAAAAACACAGAAGCCATTTTGTCTGTGCATCCATATCATATTCCAGTGGTGGCAAACCTATGGCACGGGTGCCATAGGCGGCACACAGAACCCTCTCTGTGGGCACGCATACCGTCGCCCCAGTCCTAGGCCTTCAGCTGGGTTTTATAAAACCTTTTTGCTTTAGGCCTCCGCTGTCGTGTACAAAAAAAAAGGTTCAATCAATCAGTCAATTTCAACTTCTCGTGATTATGTTTCTAAAGTTAACTCTGTTAGTTACACAAACAAAAAATATGTCCATGAAAATAAAAAACATAATAGGATAATTATTATATGGTATATTAAAAAAATAAAATAATGTAATATCATTTTATATTATTGTATATATATTAGTATATATTTTACATATTATACTATACAAACTATTATAACATTCTATGAGCTGAAATAATTATAGGTAGTGGTAAAGACCACATTACTGTTGCTTATTTTTTCAAAAATTATAGGTAACAATTTGCAATAAAGCAAGAAATAAATAAGACTAGAATGTTTTCTAAATTAAATTTACTGAGGAAATACATATAGATTGTGTGAATAATGTTAGAGATTTAAGTAATAGCACTATGTGATTTCAAAGGTATATGTAAACAAAGCTATTTTAAAACAACTATTAACCACAGAGCAAGTGGATATTCACCATTTCTTCTAGTTTTTAGAATTTATCCATCCATTCCAGCTCAGCTTAGTTTTTTTTTTTTTTTTGGAATGTGAGCATAATTCACAACAAAATAATTGTCAAATTGCAGTCATCCATCATTTTTAATCTCTCAGAACATCAGATGAGGATTTTAATTACTGTTTAAGAAATACAATTATAATTGAAGGTGGTATTTGCTGTACATTATGTTGCCTTCCTACATATTTTTTAACATTAAAACTATTTTAAAAAAGAAGTGAGAGGGAGCAAAAAAATGGCTGAATACCTAAGGCAGTCTTGGCAGAAACTGGCACCTACAAAAAAAAAGACTGCTAAACTTTGCCTTGTATAAAGACTGATTGCATTCAGATGTATCAGAACTATATCTCCAGAATTTCTAGTCAGTATAACCATGTGGGAAAGCAAAGAGATTAATTTCTTAAAATGTGTATGGTGTATGGTATGGTATGGTATGGTATGGTATGGTATGGTATATATGTATTTTCAGGTTCACTATGAAAAAAGGTTTTTTTATGTTCTGTTCAATAATGTTTGATTCTCATATAGACATGTCCCTGAAGTTTTCTTGACAAGTACTTTACCACTGTCTTCTTCTTAGGTCTGAGAACAAGTGACTGGCCCAAGGACACCCAACTGGCTTGGTGCTTAAGGTAGGACTAGAACTCACAGTCTCCTGGATTCTAGCCTACTGCCTTAATCACTACACTGAACTGCCTGTCTGAAAGAGAATATAAATGCATCCTAAACCCAATAGTTTACAATAAAATACCCGTCGTATATATATCTCATATATTTTAAATTAAATTAGTACAATATGGACTAGTTATTCCTCTCTGTCTTTCTCTTTTTATAAAACTCTTATTATCTTTTATCATCCACCCACACGTGTGTTTGTATGTGTGTATGTGTAAAGTTGTCTCTGAATGTTTTGATGTGAAAGATTGTATGGACAACACATTCTCAACAAAGTACAAATAAGTTATGTCTCTGCAATCTTATTTTCCTTTTTAATAAGATAATGTAAAATAGAAGACAAATCAAGACTGTTTCTATAATATTTTTATTGTTTATCATTTTGTTCTCAGATGAGCACAGACAAGCTGTATTGTTAAGCCTGGACAACAATAATAGATTTTAAAAAACCTTTCTATTTAAAAAATCATGAAATTATGTAACATTGGGCATTCCCACTAAAGAGAGGGAGGGAGGGAGGGAGGGAGGGAATATTATATAATGTATCCTATCCCTCATATATGAGTGTCCTATAAACCTCAGGCATACAAACTAATCCTTATTACTATTATATTTGTGTATAATATATCCAGATTGTTTATGTATAATATGCCCATATTATTCTATGGATGAACCAGAAAATCAGAGATTCAAGGAAAGTTATTCAGTTTGTTACAATTTACCTTGTTATTCCAAGTCAGAAATGTGTCGCCTATTTTTAAGTCAGTTTACTTACTCAGTTACTCAGAAGTGATTTTAATGAAGACATACACACTATTAATTAGATAATGCCATTTACAAAATCAATGTTTAGTCATCACACCTCAGCTCCTTCTAATGGTCAAGTACCTTGTGAAAATATAGCAAGAACTGAAGAAACACCTTTAACCCATCAGATTACTGCCTCTGACAAGACAGCAATGAGAGTTTGTGGGAATGTAGCCAACTGATGTAATCAAACTGTTTTTTTCATGACAGTTTTTGAGACAGATTTCTGTAAAAGACTGATAAGAGGAAATCACTAATATGGGATGACTTATATCACTGTATGATGGCACAGCTGACATGATAATATCTTCATTAAAATTTGGTATTTTATTTGTCTCCAATTTTGGTTTTATTAAATAATTTACAATTGTAATACAAATGTCTTGAAGGCATAAGCAAGTAACAATAACAATAACAATAATAGAGTTGGAAGGGAACTTGGAGATCTTCTAGTCCAACTCCCTGCTCAGGCAGGAAACCCTATACCATTTCAGACAAATGGCTGTCCAGTCTCTTCTTAAAACTTCCAGTGTTGGAGCATTTACAACTTCTGGAGGCAGGTTGTTCCACTGATTAATTGTTCTAGCAGTCAGGAAATTTCTCCTTAGTTTTAGGTTGCTTCTCTCCTTGATTAGTTTCCATCTGTTGCTTCTTGTACTGCCTTCAGGTCTCCTGTACCAAACAAAACCACAGGATCTCAAAACAAATGTTTTCCTTCATTTTTTTTTTGTCCTAGTATCACATAAATAAGTAAAATGATAGTCAATGCTGAGTATTTCTGATAATTCTGGTCAGTAATATGTTGCCCAAGATTTTTTTAAAAAAATAGAATATAATAATAATATACCCACCAGAAAGAATGAAATGATTAATCGTATTTTTATTCAGCAAGTTACAGAAAATCCACAAGGAATAATAGCAACAAGCAAATTATTTTACTTCAATAAAGCCCATGAATAACTACTAAAATATTTTTTTCCTTGGCTGTCAGCTCTAAAGTGACTTTCTTGTAATATAATTTTTATGTTATGATACTGGGCTGACTACCACTCTGCTTCCCCCCCGTCCCCCCCCCAAAAGCCCAGCTTATACACAGTGCAGCAATGCACTGCATTTTGCAAGCAGCCTGCAACAGAAAGCCCTTAGCAGCTATTAATGTCAATGTCAACCTGCCAAAGGAACCAACACACAAATCAGCCAATCAGAACTAAGAAAACAGCAAGCCAATCCCAGGATTCAGGATTCTTACAATGTTCAAAACAGACAAATTTTTTTTCAGGCTTGGAAATAATTTAATATGTTTTGTCCTGACTTTGGAGGGGGAGGGATAAGCTATTGAAATGCAAACCAAATAT